CTTGTCTAAAATATTAAAAGGGAAGAAGAAAAAAAAGGACCACTGTGATTTAGACCAAACTTCTTTGTTAGCTTTTGGAAGGGGTCAAGCCCTTCGCAAGTACAAGTGCTTCCCCTCGTTGTAGCACTTCTTCCGGGGGAACTTGGTACTTGAACAACCAGAGCCCTGAAACAGTGCTTCTTCATAAAAACAGCACCATCCCCTTCATGGCTTGCAGTTCTGATGGATCCTGAAGACCTCCCTTCATCCAATGCTACTCCACTATTATTAAACTTTCAAGTCATAATTAATGGCTAAATTATACTATTACTGAAGGGGGTAAATTAAGTATGAATAATCTTAAATCTTTTTTTTTTTTTTAAAGATTTTATTTATTTATTCATGAGAGACAGAGAGAAACAGAGGGAGAAGCAGGCTCCCAAGGAGCGGGAAGCCCGATGCGGGACTCGATCCCAGGACCCTGGGATCATGACCTGAGCCGAAGGCAGACGCTTAACCATCTGAGCCACCCAGGCGCCCGAATAATCTTAAATCTTAACAAATGATTTTTAAAGTGACTTCACTTTGATTTGCCCTAAGCCTAAACTTCAGCACACATTTTGACAACTAAAAGGTTAGGCTTAGAGTCTGCCTCTCCCCCAAATCCTTAAGGTAAAAGGCAATTCAGATTCATGCTAGCAATACTATTTTAGGGTGCTAATCTACATTATTTTTCTAACTACCAAGTAAAACTCATTACATTACTAATGGGGACCGATATCAGGATTTCAAAAACATGTTTTCTTAAGTTTCAACTATTCAAATGGTACCTAGCTTTTTTTTTTTTTTTTTTTAAGATTTTATTTATTTGACAGAGAGAGACACAGCCAGAGAGGGAACACAAGCAGGGGGAGTGGGAGAGGGAGAAGCAGGCTTCCCGCGGAGCAGGGAGCCGGACGTGGGGCTCGATCCCAGGACCCTGAGATCGTGACCTGAGCCGAAGGCAGATGCTTAACGACTGAGCCACCCAGGCGCCCCACCTAGCTTTTTTCTTCATAGTTAAGGTGAGGCTTTTGGGGAAGAGTATTTTTGAATGTTGTTATTTTTTTTTTGTAAGATTTTATTTATTTGACAGAGAGAGAGAGACAGAGAGAGAGACAGCACGCACAAGCAGGGGGAGTGGGAGAGGGAGAAGCAGGCCTCCCGCTGAGCAGGGAGCCCGATGTGGGGACTCGATCCCAGGACCCTGGGACCATGACCTGAGCCGAAGGCAGACGCTTAACGACTGAGCCACCCAGGCGCCCCTGAATGTTATTTTTTATAGAAAATGAGCCTACCATCTTGCAGCCAATTGGGAGTTTGCTGTGTTTCACTGTTAGTTTGTCAGCTACCTTTCTTAGTTCACACAAAAATTGCTCATTTTTCTCCTCAGGAAATAAATTAATCTCTATGTTCTATTTACTCTGTCACATCCGCTACCTCCAAACTGTTTTTCTTCTGCCCCGTACTCAACCGTGCCTCCAGTTTTTCTGCTTAAATCACGTGGCACTGTGGCCATTCTTGCCCAGGCCACCCACCCACTGAGCAGAGGCAAGCAATTCTCCTGGGGGGGGGGGGGGGCGGGCAAAGTTTCATCTCCCCCCTCCCTCCCCAGCGCCACTCCAGCAAGACAAACAGGCACACACCGGCACTCCCCTCAGACAGGGAAACACTCTGTGATTGCAATTTGAACTTTTTTTCTTTTTGCAGCTTAATCAACATTTAATGGCAATATTACAAGCTTTTCATTTTTAACGGGAAATCACTTGGGTTACCCTAGTCATATCAAGAAACCAGAAAACAGAATAGCCTTATTCTCTATGAAGCTGTTCCTTTTTAAAACATCCAATCTGTACCATGGTAACATATACTGTGTTTTTAAGTCTCCTACTGGGCAAGTGTGTGGGAGAAGCATATGTCAAATTATAGCATGAAACGGTTTAATCATCTCCTTTAATCAATACATTTCTGAGGTAGCTTTAATTAGGCCAGTGGAACATTCACTTCTGAAATAACATGTAGCAAAAAAGAAGCAAACCAATTACAGTGATCAATAACATCTGCAAGGCAAGTTCATTTAATGTTAAAATACTGCCTAAGTTATACGCTGTGCAATTTTGAAAATCTTGGAAAAATACCTTTTTAAAATGTGGATCAAGATACTCAATACAATTTTTAATCAAATCAGGGCCACAAGAAACCTTCAATCTTCAAGGACTAAAAACACCATGGCCAGTTATTCAGAAAATGACAAATAACAGAAATGAAACAAAATCATCTTTAAAAATTACAAGAACATTATTACAGCAATGCAAATTTACAGACTTTTAAGATCACTGAATCAGATTTCTTAAACCATATTATAATTCTATATCGTATATTATATACAAGAAGTTCTTTGTAACCTTTACCATTAACAGTTACCAGGTATCAGATTCAATAAAATAACTCTGAGAAGTAAAAACACTCCTTGTAACCAGAAATATTATAGAATACTAATTCAGGAAGTTATTCAGCAGCTTATAAAGAAATAGGAAGTTGTTGACCACCTACTTGAAGAACCATTTCCTGTAGGAAAACTATAAGAGAGCTGAAGAAGGCAATAATTCTCAGAGTAATACAGAGAAGAATTCTTTTAAAACAAAAGCTCAATACACAATGTTGACAAGATTAGTTTTAAAACAGTAAACTCACTAGCATAGATATTACACATAATATACAGATGGGGAGCTTTCTTCACATACTTCACAATCACACCAGAGCTCAATACGTGTTAGTGATAAATGCAGCTTCCTTCCTTGCCACTTGCCAGGCTAAGAAACGTCCTTTCTCCAGATCTCACTGAGCTACGGAGGGCTTCAGAAATAGCAATGATCACTTGCCTATAATCCTTCAGTACTTACGCTGCTTTGAAACTAGAAGATGGGCCAACTGACCAAAACGTCATCATCTATGGTCACAAGGCAACAATTGGTTTCCAAAGTCAACATTTCTAACTTTTCAATCAAATTATATCACCTTACGTGTCTGGACCATTCACAGTCTTCATGCCAAGTATAAACTTCAACAAATTATATACTTTGTAACTTACGAGTTAGTTCCAATGATTATCTTAAAAGATGTATATAAAAATAAAAAAATAAAAAGATGTATATAGCAAAATTCAGTTTTTCATTGTTGAAAGAGTATAAAGTAAGTAACTAGTATAAATCTGCACTCTACATCTTGATGGCACTAAGAATCTTCTTCAGACACAAGAAAAATACAAGTATTGGTCCCAAACAGAGCCTGACTTGAAAACATCACATTAGGATAAAAATGAACTTGGAAAACAGCAACTTGGCTCCAAAAGAAGGTTCATTTACCATCATCTTTGACTCCTAGTCAGAACAGATACTAATGAGCTCATTTACCTGTGCAGCGCAGAAAAGTAAGTCGTTTATGGCAACTCATACAACCCACGACGTCATGAAAGTAGCTAACAACTGGATGTAAACTAACTTTTTTTTTTTTTTAAAGATTTTATTTGTTTATTTGACAGAGAAACGGTGAGAGAGGGAACACAAGCAGAGGGAGTGAGAGGGAGAGAAGTAGGCTTCCCGTGGAGCAGGGAGCCCGATGGGGGGCTCGATCCCAGGTCCCTGGGATCATGACCTGAGCCGAAGGCAGATGCTTAACGACTGAGCCACCCAGGCGCCCCGTAAACTAACTTTTTATAACTTCTCCAAATTACATATTGTTCCTAAAGCAGATACCCTGTAGAAGAATACAAAATTCTGTAAGCCCACAGTAGCCAAACCAATGCTTAGGGGCCCTCTCTACAATTCCTGACAAGCACCAACTGATCCATGATTTTGCCTATCTCTCAGGAAAAATCCTTGTATTTCTGAAAGGTTTGATATGAGAAAATTATTCCATGGAGTCTCAAATCCTCATGTTTCTTTTAATAAGCCCAATTTTACTTCTATGTGAGAGTCCCTCAAGAATCCTAAAGAACCATGTTTTTTGGTTTTTGTTTTTTTAATTTTTTCCTTTTCATTTGTTAAGAACAATCATATTTTCTCTCTCTTCTTTTTTCTTTCCCAGGTAAACTTCTCTCCACTCCCTACAACCATTTTTCACATGGGGTAACTTTCCCTATCATTTTGCCCTGGTTTACCTTCCCTACAGACCCATTCAACTGGGGTGTTCGTTAACCCATCTTTATCAATATCATTAAGAGAAACATTTCTTCTCAAAGGAAAAACCACTGGAAACTTTTTCAAATGGACCTAGAGAACATTTATTTCAGGTCAAAATAACAAGATCACTCAAAATAATGAAAACGTAGGCAGATGTCACCTGTAAGCAACTATTATAAGATACAAAAGACTAAAAAGAGCATAAAGGCTGCTCTTTAACCTTATACTTTTAGCTACAGCATCAACCAAAGAAAGGAGGCAAGCAGGCTATTAAGCTGTTTAAAAAATCTCCCCAGGTCAGCATGTGACCCAGCAGGGTAAGGTTCAAAAAAGTACAGCCTTTCTTTTTCCTTCCAAGGACCCGGTTTGTCTCCGTTCCTTTTCCCTTCAAGACACATCCCTCACAGCTAGCAGCTCTTTCAATCATTTACTTTGGATGTCTGCTTGAGAACAAATGATCTTGCTCATGCAGATGAGTTTGCCAGACTTGTGTGTACTTTCCAGTCTCAGGCCCTTTATTGTTCTGGTTGAAACCTGACCCTTTGAAATGGATACCAGGACACCAGAAAATTTAAATTTTAAAAAGAAGAAAAATGTTACAGGAGAGGGGGCAAAAAAAACTAGAAACTTTTCAAGATCAAACTTTTTTCTCCGCTCTTTTAAACAAGCCTTTCTGAAAACCCTATGTTTCATTACAAACCACCTACCCTGAAAGACAATATAAAATACTTACTAAGACTCACACAACAAAACACTAATTGTATTATCTGATCTAATAACTAAATGTTACATTTGCCTTAGGAGTAGACTGTCAAGATAGATCTCAATCAAAACCTGGATTGTTTTTCACTTTATCTCAACCTGATTAAACAGCAAGAAGTAAGCAACTTTATTTAAAAACATCAATTTCAGTCTATAATTACTTTAAGAAAAAGTTTTGTATACACTTAAATCCAAAATGCCAGATAAAAATACTTGGTTCTTATCTACAAATTCAAAGTGAGAAAGGATAAAATTCTATTTTGATCTTTTCAGCCTGAATGAAATTTTGCTATTGTGTTAAAGACAAAAAGTCTCATAAAAATAAATAATGCAATGGCCTTCTGTTTTTGTTTTCCCAGAAGAGGATTCTGTCCTGAGGACCTGCTAGCTTGAAAGAAGTCTGCCACGGAGTGATTATATAAACATGAAAACTCACAGTTCTCTTTACTTTTTGGGCTGGGGCGGGGGGAGGGTCCGTCACATCAAACTGCAGCTAAAGGGTTTGTCATTTGACAATCTCAAATATTGTAAAATCTGACTCCCAAAGAAGACCTACTTTTTTTGTAGTTCTTCTCTACCATTAAAATGTTCATTTAAAGAGATGTCGGTCGTGCCACAGATGTTTCCTAAGACTATGCCAGCCTGTAAGTCCCACAATTTGAAATGTTTCATAGTATTCTTTCAGTTTTAAGCTAAGCTAATTAATAGACTTGGAACAAAGTCAAAATGAGAATATCCAAATTGCCACAAAAGAAAAGATTATTAAAAGACTCTGAACCAAGAATCCATCAAGCTTTCAAAATATTACCCAAGCTGAAGAAGGTAATTAGGTCATGTTAAAGTGGAAAAAAAAAAAACACATTTGTGTGTGTGTGTGTATTATGGGTGTATCTATATCTACAAGATAAAACTAAGCTTGACATAAAGTAAAACATCGAAACAAATGACATTTTATGTCCTAACACCACCTTACTGTGCTTCCCAAAATAGGTGTCACTTACTTTAAGAAGTACCTCTGGCCAGAAGATGTCTTTGCCATCTCCCAGCCCGCCGGCAGGGGTACGTCATCGGGGATCTCAAAGGAAGACTGGCGCAGGTGCTGAGCGGTGGGAGCAGCTGCTGGGCCGGGGACCACTCCGGGGGGCGTCAGGCTCCCCGGGGACACGGCTCCCAGCTGCAGGGAAGCCGGCGAGGAATGCGCTCGAACGTGCTGCGGAGTCAGGGCCCCTGCACCGCCCGCATCCGTACTGGCCTATTGGGAACAGCAAAACGAAAACGCCTTAAGAACTATTTTTAAAGAGGGTCCCTTAAATTTCCTTGACAGGATTTCATTGCAGCCAAGTATCGAAGTACCAAAGGCAAAAACTGAAGTTTGACACAGAGGAATACAGATTTATAGGTGTGCATTTTGATTTTATTTATTTATTTGACAGAGAGAGAGAACGAGAGAGGGAACACAAGCAGGGGGAGCGGGAGAGGGAGAAGCAGGCCTCCTGCGGAGCAGGGAGCCCGATGGGGGGCTCGATCCCAGGACCCTGGGGCCGTGACCTGAGCCGAAGGCAGACGCTTAACAACTGAGCTATAGGTGTGCATTTTTAAATGGTTTGTGTGATTGTAATGTGTACTTTGACAAACATTTGTAACTTTATAGATCAGCAGTCCATCTAAGTTAATGTCTACCCAGCACACATTAGATGTGCCTCCTACACATTTTAGAAGAGTACAAAATGAATGGAACATTTCTACAGTATGTTGGATTTTAAAACTTAATTTCTTTTTTTTTTAAAGATTTTATTTATTTGAGAGAGAGAGAGAGAGAGCGCACAAGCGGGGGTAGGGGAAGGGGCATAGGCAAAGGGAGAAGCAGACTCCCCGCTGAGCAAGGAGCCCCATTGGGGGTGGGGGGCCTGGACCCGGGGACTCAGGGATCATGACCTGAGCTGAAGGCAGGTGCTTAACCAACCGATCCCATATGGGTGGAGTTCTGAGTTTTGTTTTTTTTTTTTAAAGATTTTTATTTATTTATTCATGAGAGACAGAGAGAGAGAGAGGCAGAGGGAGAAGCAGGCTCCCAAGGAGCAGAGAGCCCGATGCGGGACTTGATCCCAGGACCCTGGGATCATGACCTCAGCCGAAGGCAGAGGCTTAACCATCTGAGCCACCCAGGCGCCCACTGTTCTGAGTTCTAAAAGGTCCCAGGTATAACACGACCCAAGGAATATAATAACTATACACTTTCTCTTTTCTTTTTCAGCTAGGTTTTAAGTAATGTTTCTTTCCAAGCCAAGCCCTAAACACAGGACAACTGTCATTTTTTCTCACCATGGACCAATGCCATCAATAAAACCATCACAACTTACACAACTTTTGATGAATGCAAGAGATTCAGAATCATTCAAAAGTTCTTAAGACAACCTAATGAAATGAAAACCCAACCATGTATTCCTACATAGATGGTAAAAATGTGAACAGTTCAACTGCAGAAAAAAGTTTGCACCCAGACCCCAAAGATCTGAGTTCCAGGCCAAATTGGCTACTGTGACAGTGAACAAATACCAGTCTCCGTGAGCCTGTTTTGTCATTTGTAAGAGAGCTTCTTTCGTGTGTGTATATAAACACGAATGAACGAGTTCATACCCAATAGTTTGTGCACAATAGTATTTATAACCCACATTCATACCATTCATAACCCAGCATAGCTACTTAAATTCCTCATTAGAATTAGGGTTTGATTATTAAAGAACTTCCTAGACTGATACGGGAAGGAGGCTAGAAGCAATCAGCGGAGGCATTTATGCCTTAAAGTCAGCCACACTGCTGAGTTTCCAATCAGAACAAACCTGAATTAGGAAATCACCAGCAGAACTAAATAATCAAACTTACAGATGCAGAACACTTAGTTAAGAAACTTACCAAAAACAAACAAAATTAGAGGTTATGAACAGAGGATGAATCCATAAACTGCTGGACATAATTCTCGTGGTTATTTACAAGAACTTCTTTGCAACTTTTCAGTTGCAGTTCTTTTTGGCTTACAGACGCCACGAAATGAGGAACGCATTCCCTAATGAGTACTATGCTTTCAAAACCTACTCAGGCGCTCGCAGCCCAAATGCGTCGACCGTAAGGGGCAACGCCAGCACACGTTTCCCGGGAGGAGTCCAGAGACCCAGCTCCAGGCCTCGGAGAAGGAAAAGCGCCCTACCGTGCCCCCTCCTGAGCTGCACGCAGCCCGACGGTCTCCTCCGCCCTCCCTACGCCCGGCTTTCGCCAGCAGGTTGCGCGAGTCTCTGAGTTCCCAAAGCGCTCTGTCCGCGGCTGCAGAACACACGACAGGCCTCGCCAACAGGAGGGGCAGGGGCAGGGGAACGGGGCGCTCACTCCTCTTTCCACTCAAGTTACAGCCGGGCTGGACCAACTGCAGCGCAGTATTTGGAAAACCAATCAACTTTTGGGCAAAGCTCCTGTGCTCGAGCTTAGCCTGAAGCACGTTCTTCCAGCGAGCCCTAGGCAAACAGATGTCCGGGAGCGGTGGGAAGGGGAGCCCTTGCCCGACAGTCTCTCCTCGGAGCTGGATCGCACCGGCCAGGGGAGCGGGCGCCGTGCGCGCCACAGCCGCGCTCCCGTCCCCGGGGCGAACTCCGGAGCCAGGGCGAGCCGCGCATTAGTCATCGCTTCCCCAGCACCGCGCGCGGTCGCGGCGGCGCCACGCAGCCCCGGCCCCCAGCCCGCCGAGGGCCCGCTCCCCCGCGCAGCCGACGCGGTCGGCTGCCCGGACGCCCTCCCCCCGGGGAGCCGGCCCCCCCCGGGGGCGCCCCCCGAGTCCGCACACGGGCCCCAGCCCCCCCACGGAGCCGGCCCGAGTCCCCGCGTAGGCCCCCTTCAGTCTCCCCTGGGAGCCGGCCCTCCCCAGCCCCCCCCGACTCCCCGCAGGGCCCCCCAGTCTCCCCCGGGAGCCGGTCCCCAGTGTCCCCTCCCCGGGGGCGCCCCTGAGTCCCTGCACGGGGCCCCCCAGTCTCCCCCGGGGGCCGGTCCCCCGAGTCCTCGCAGGGGCCCCGCACCCCCAGTGTCCCCCTGAGAGCCGGCCCTCCCCAGTTCCCCACCCGGGGGCGCCCCCCGTCTCCCCCGGGAGCCGTCCCCCCGAGTCCCCTCCCCGGGGGCGCCCCTGAGTCCCTGCACGGGCCCCCCCAGTCTCCCCCGGGGGCCGGTCCCCCGAGTCCCCGCAGGGGCCCCGTACCCCAGTGTCCCCCGGGAGCCGGTCCCAGTGTCCCCCTGGGAGCCGGTCCTCCCCAGCCCCCCGAGTCCCCGCAGGGCCCCCCCAGTCTCCCCCGGGGGCCGGTCCCCCGAGTCCCCGCAGGGGCCCCGGACCCCCTACTGTCCCCCTGGGAGCCGGTCCTCCCCAGCCCCCCGAGTCCCCGCAGGGCCCCCCAGTCTCCCCCGGGGGCCGGTCCCCCGACTCCCCGCAGGGGCCCCGACCCCCTAGTGTCCCCCTGGGAGCCGGCCCTCCCCAGCCCCCCGAGTCCCCGCACGGGCCCCCCCAGTCTCCCCCGGGGGCCGGCCCTCCCCAGCCCGACTCCCCGCACGGGCCCCCCAGTCTCCCCCGGGGGCCGGTCCCCCGAGTCCCCGCAGGGGCCCCGACCCCTAGTGTCCCCCTGGGAGCCGGCCCTCCCCAGCCCCCCGAGTCCCCGCACGGGCCCCCCAGTCTCCCCCGGGGGCCGGCCCTCCCCAGCCCGACTCCCCGCACGGGCCCCCCCAGTGTCCCCCTGGGAGCCGGCCCTCCCCAGCCCCCCCCCGACTCCCCGCAGGGCCCCCCAGTCTCCCCCGGGAGCCGGTCCCCAGTGTCCCCTCCCCGGGGGCGCCCCTGAGTCCCTGCACGGGCCCCCCCAGTCTCCCCCGGGGGCCGGTCCCCCGAGTCCCCGCAGGGGCCCCGCACCCCCAGTGTCCCCCTGAGAGCCGGCCCTCCCCAGTTCCCCACCCGGGGGCGCCCCCCGTCTCCCCCGGGAGCCGTCCCCCCGAGTCCCATCCCCGGGGACGCCCCTGAGTCCCTGCACGGGCCCCCCCAGTCTCCCCCGGGGGCCGGTCCCCCGAGTCCCCGCAGGGGCCCCGGACCCCCTACTGTCCCCCTGGGAGCCGGTCCTCCCCAGCCCCCCGAGTCCCCGCAGGGCCCCCCCAGTCTCCCCCGGGGGCCGGTCCCCCGACTCCCCGCAGGGGCCCCGGACCCCCTACTGTCCCCCTGGGAGCCGGCCCTCCCCAGCCCCCCCCCGACTCCCCGCACGGGCCCCGGACCCCCTAGTGTCCCCCTGGGAGCCGGCCTTCCCCAGCCCCCCCCGACTCCCCGCACGGGCCCCCCAGTCTCCCCCGGGAGCCGGTCCCCCGAGTCCGCACACAGGCCCCCAGCCCCCCCACGGAGCCGGCCCGAGTCCCCGCGTAGGCCCCCTTCAGTCTCCCCTGGGAGCCCGGCCCTCCCCAGCCCCCCGACTCCCCGCACGGGCCCCCCAGTCTCCCCCGGGGGCCGGTCCCCCGAGTCCCCGCAGGGGCCCCGCACCCCCAGTGTCCCCCTGAGAGCCGGCCCTCCCCAGCCTCCCCCCCGACTCCCCGCAGGGGCCCCGCACCCCCCAGTGTCCCGCTGAGAGCCGGCCCTCCCCAGTTCCCCACCCGGGGGCGCCCCCCGTCTCCCCCGGGAGCCGTCCCCCCGAGTCCCCTCCCCGGGGGCGCCCCTGAGTCCCTGCACGGGCCCCCCCGGTCTCCCGCGGGGGGCCCAGCCCCGGACCCCCACTCGCCCCGGGCGCCGGCGCCGGGCGCCGACCCCGCAGCGCCTTCCAGGAAAGCCTGGACGCCGCCCGCACAAGGCGCCGGGCGCTCCCGGGAGCGGAGAAAGAGCCAGAAAGTCCACGCACTGCTCCAACCCCCACCCCTAATCCACACTGCAAAACAAGAGGACAATTATCTGAGTCCCCAGGACACTCGCGCGGCCGCACAGGCCCCGCAGGACAGGGGGCCCAGGGCTCCCCGCCACCAACTCGGCCGCCGCGGGCCCCTCCCCCACCCCGGCCCCCGGCCGCCCCATCTCCTCCCCTCCCCCCCCGCCCCTCCCCGCCCCCTCCGCTCCTTCCCCCCTCGTCCCTCCCCCCCCCGGTCCCCGTCCCGGCGGCGGCGGCGGCGGCCGAGGTGCGGGGCGCGGACGCGCGCACATTGTGCGAGCCCACCCGCCCCCCCGCCTTCCTTCCTCCCCCTCCCCCGCGCCTCCCGCCAACCTCCCGGGAGCCCCAGGAAGAAAGAAAGGAAGAAAGGCAGAGGGGAGAGCACGCCCCCCGGGGCCGCGGCCGCGCCGACCGACTCGGGGGGAAAACAAACCTCGGCCCGGGACTCCGGGAGGCGCCTCCCGCCCCCGCCCGCGGCCCCCGCCCCCCCCCGCGAGCCCCCGCGGCCCGGGCCCGTCCGACGGCCGGCGGGGCGGCTACCTGGCGGGAGTGGGACTTGGGCTCCGGCGGCTTGAAGAAGGAGTCGGGCAGCTTCCGCAGCCGCATGGGCACGGTCTGGGGCACGTTGGCCGTCTTGGGGTTCATGACGGCGTTGAAGAGCGCCTCCAGGTCGGTCTCCGAGTCCCCCCGGACGTGCACGATCTGGTGGCCGGCCGGGGGGGCCTGCGGCGCCGCCTGCGGCCCCGCGGGCGCGGGCGGCCCGGGCGCCGGCGAGGGGCCCTGGCCCGAGGCGGGCTGCGCGGCCGGCGGCCCCTGGCCCTGCGCGGCGGCGGGCGGGGGCTGCGGCGGCGGCGGCGGCGGCGGCCCGGGGTCCATGCTCCGCGACGCCGCGGGCTGCGACGGCTCCGCCCGGGTCCGAGCCGCGGGCGCCCGCGGGGCCGGGCCGGGCCGGGCCGGGGAGGCTGCGCCGCAGGCCCGCCCGCGCCCCGCGGCCCCCGGCGGGGTCCCCCGGCCGCTGCGCCTCGGGAGGGCCGGCGAGCGCTCGGGCGCTGCGCTCCCCGACGGACGCGGGGCGGCGGGCGGCCGCTCCCCTCCCCCGCTGCCCGGCTTCCTCCGGGGCTCCCTTCCTTCCTCCCTTTCTTCGCCCCGGCGGCGGCTGCGCCCGACTGAGGCAGAAACTCGCCGCCGACGCCAAAACTAAAGTTGGGAGAACCGCCCGCCCGAGCGGCCGCCGGCCCCGCCCCCTCGCGGCCCTTCCTTCCTCTGCGCGCCCGCCCGCGCCGGGTCCGCGGCCGGCGCGCTCAGACGCTCCCCCGCGGGCCGCCGCATTCCTGCGCACTCGCCGCCGCCCCGCCCCGCGCGGCCGGCCGCCGCCGCACGTGACCCGGCCGCCCGCCCGCCCGCGCGCGGCCCCCGCGAGGCGGGGCGGCGGGGCGGCGCCCAGGTGCGGGCGGCGGGGCGGCGGGGCGGCGGGCCGAGAGCAGAAAGCCGGCGCCGTTCGGACGCGAGACCGTGCTTCCGCAGCGGACTGGCGACACCGGACAGCAGGAGGGAGTCACTGCCGGGCTTGGCTCGCCCGCGCTCGTCCGCGTACCTGCCGTCATCCTGCGCCCCCCGCGCCCCGGCCCGGTGCCAGGCACGGGGGCTCGCAGCGCCCGCTGCGCCGCGGGGCCCCGTCCCACCTGCGCGGAGGCCCCTGGAATCACGACGCAGCCCTGGAAGTCTGCTTTTATAATGCTGCAGTCCTCGAGATTTTATTTATTTGTGAGCGAGGGAACACGAACAAGCCCGGGGAGCGGGAGGGGGGCAGCGGGGAGCCCGACGGGGCTCGATCCCAGGACCCCGGGACCATGACCCGAGCCGAAAGCAGACGCCCGACGACCGAGCCCCCCAGGCGCCCCAGGGAAAGAGTCTTGAGCAGACTCTGTGCTGAGCAGAGCCCTATTAATTTTAAAGCCCGTACATTTTATTTTTTTTAAGATTTTTATTTATTTATTTGACAGAGAGAGACACAGCGAGGAGGGAACACGAGCAGGGGGAGGGGCAGAGGGAGAAGCAGATTCCCGCTGAGCAGGGAGCCCAGTGGGGAGCTCGATCCCAGGACCCTGGGACCATGACCCGAGCTGAAGGCAGACGCCTAATGACTGAGCCACCCAGGCGCCCCAGGACCCCAGTTTGTGTGTGTGTGTGTGTGTGTGTGTGTGTTTTAAGATTTTTATTTATTTGACAGGGAGAGAAACACCGAGAGCAGGAACACAGGCAGGGGGAGTGGGAGAGGGAGAAGCAGGCTTCCCGCCGAGCAGGGAGCCCGATGCGGGGCTCGATCCCAGGACCCCGGGATCGTGACCTGAGCCGAAGGCAGAGGCCCAACGACCGAGCCCCCCAGGCGCCCCGCAAATCTGCTTTTAAATTCATACAAATGCATACCTTCTGGTTTTTTTTTTAAAGCGGCTTTATTGACATGTGATTCACATACTGTACAACTCGGTTCACTTAAGCAATTGAGCGAGTTTAGTACATTCAAGGGTTGTGCGACAGCGCTCCGACTTTGAAACTCCCATGTTAGCCCATGCTCAAGAAATCTAGCTTTTTAGTGATTTTGTCTGTAATGCTAGTGAAGCAGATGTCTAAATAGGATTGAGCAAGAAAAGGTCTCCTGAACAGAAAGATAATCTCTTCTTCCAGCCAGGACATGCCCAGGAGAATTCTGAGCGGGGATCTGGATCCCTCTGTGTGTAGGGCAGGGCCTGAAGGAGAGGCTCCAGAAATCTGGAGGTTGTAAGGCAAGATTCTAGCCAGCTGCCCTGGACCCTGCTTTCCTCCCTAAGGCTCTGCAGTCGGTGAGCCCCTGACTGCCTCTCGGACTTCTCCGCAGCCCCAGCCCCAAATGTCAAGGCCGTTTAAGCACGAACTTGTAGTAGTTGTGACACGTCGGACATGTGACTGATTTCCTGCTCTTTAATTTCTTTAATATTGGGGTCGGGGTAATGATACCTGCTTCGTGTGTTGGGGCCTGAAATGAGTCCGTGGACAAAAAGTATGCACTTAGCCCCATTTGGGGCACGTGGTGAGTTCTGCATGGACGTCAATGACCATCATTGTCCCGCGTTCACAGACTGCACGTTGTGACATGGTCTCTCTGCAGAAACCCCCCTGGGGGGCCCTATTGGCAGTCCCTTCTTCTCACTTCCAATAGCCAGGCACAGAGACGAAGCCTGTGGGCAGAAGCTGTGCATTAAAAACTTCAACTGGAAAAAAAAAACAACAAACTTTTTAAGAAGCAAAATGCTGGAAAACCTAGGACTCGAAGGGAGCTGTTCCTTGGCTAGAGCACTTACTGCTGGGAACGCAGCAATTCAAGGGCTTAGGGTACCGCAGACACTGCTTTGTTCAATATTGTTACACCTGCTGTTACGTGGAGAACAAAATTACTTTGATAAGTGGATTGAAAGGCTGTTTGGAGTGATTTTATGTCCTATAAGGACTTCTACAGCACCGTGCCAAGATTTTGTAATTTACTACTTGTTATCTATAAAATTTCGGTCACAGGTTAGTAAGGGATAAAGATGACATGTATTCAACCCCTTGTCCCCTCTCCTTCTCCCCAGCCCTACTTTTGGAGCAATTACCAGCTTAAGGCACCTGGAGACAGGGAGTCCTCTTTATAAAAAGGCCCTGATTTTCAGCGTCCATGCGGATCACTGTCTCAAAGCGCTTGTCTTACAAGGCCGTGCCCTCTCCAGTAGAGGGGAGGCTCCAGCTCCTACGTCCACACTCTGTCCCCCCAGAAATGCCTCAGCTGTGAGATCAGTCATTGTGGTACCACTCCCTTACTAGCCGTTGGGTCCCTGGTTTCCTTACTCACACCTCACTGGGCATTAATCTCTTTCCTACCAACCTATCACTCCCTTTTGTTTCCACTTCTTTCCCAATTCAGCTGAGAAATCATAACTCAGGGCGCCTGGGTGCCTCAGTCAGTTAAGCAGCTGACTCTTGATTCAGCTCAGGTCATGATCTCAGGGTCCTGGGATGGAGCTCCTGTTGGGCTCTGAGCTCAGCGGGGAGTGTGCTTGAGATTCTCGCTCTCCCTCTCCTTCTGCCCCTCCCCCTGCTCACGTGCATGTGCGTGCTCTCTCTCAGATAAATAAATAAAATTAAAAAAAATATATTTTTTTCAACCTGTCATAATCATCTCTGCCCTCCATTCCATGCCCTGTGTATTTCCGCGAACTGGATCTGTTAAACCAGAGTCCGGTCATCTGTCTTTACCATTCCAATACCAAGGCTTACAGGAGGCCAAGCCCCACACTCATTAAAAGCTTCAATCAAAGCTTTGACCTTCTGTGCAAGTGATGTTATGCCATCATCCCAGAGGTGTATCTACACGATTACGAGAAGCCACTCTTTGTACAACTCTAAACTTTGTCCTATTTCAGATGAAATCCATAATCATCTGGTATACCTGTGGATACAGTTATATTGGATTGAAATCACTGCATATTAAAAGTATTAATTTGCTAAATGTGAACATTTGAAACATACCCTGTGTTTGTCACCGTCTCTTGGCATTCCAGCATGTTTGAATATACGAGGGGCTTAAAAAGAGGAAGTGTCCCGCCCTCGCACAGTGCAGCCTCGAGAGAGCCTGGCTATGCCCAGGTTCTCAGGGACACCTGGAGGGAATCTCACCGGGGAATGGATTGGTGCCACCCCATGTTTATGGTCTCTAATCGTGTTTCCTTGTATCTGCAGTCAGCTTCTCTCTCTTTTTTTTTTTTAATTCTGTGATCATGTGGCAACTTAACTTCCATTGCCACTTTAAGCTTCACAGTATTTTTTTTTTAATTTATTTGAGAGAGAACAAGAGAGAGCACAAGCAGGGGGAGCAGAGGGAGAGGGAGACACAGACTCCCCCTGAGCAGGGAGCCCGGCATGGGGCTTGATCCCAGGACCCTGGGATCATGACCTGAGCTGAAGGCAGACGCTTCGCCGCCTGAGCCACCCAGGCGCCCCAATAACACCCCTTTAAAGTTAAAAATTAAAATTAAAAACCTCTCTTAAATGAAGAAACAGGCAGAGAGAAGTCAAACGACTTGCCCAGAGCTGCAGTGCTGGTAGGTAGGGCTACCTCTGAATCTACATTCCTGATTCCAGAGCTCAAACTCTCCGCCAGGAAGATTATACTTAATTTCAGGCAGTTCAAAGGGTTATTGACAAATTTATGCTCGCAGGATGATGAAGTGGTGTAGGAACCCTGTCATTTCAGGAAAATTTCATTTATTTCTACTGACCAATAAGTGGTGGTTAGGGCGATATGCTCGATGTTAAGGACAGGAGCACCTGGGTGCCTTGGTCAGTGAGGCATCTGACTTGGGCTCAGCTCATACATGATCTCAGGGGTCCTGGGAGGGAGTCCCCACATCGCGGGGTCTGCACTCAGCGGGAGTCTGCATGTCCCTCCCCCTCTGCCTCCACTCCTGCTCTCTCTCTCAAATAAATAAATAAAATCTTTAAAAAAATGTAAGGACAAAGTGGGGTTGATCGCTGGAAGTCAGATTGAAAGTATGAAGACACAAATTCTCTCGTTGCAAAAAAGGAGTTGTTTAGGAGAAACGACCCTGTGCACTCACAGCTTGGGCTCCTTCCGTTTCCGGATCCTGCTGCTGGAGCTCACGGTGTGTGCCGCCCGGCAGGTGCAGGTTTGTGCGTGTACTCGCAGAGCCAAGGACGCGCTGGGCCTGGGCAGTAATCAGTATAAGAACGCCTATTTTGCGGGATGATAATGAAGAGCACACAAAATAACAGGACTGAGTGCGTTTTTATTACGGCTTCATGAGCATTAGGAATCCTGAGATTAGGGTGCCCGGCCACCTGAGGGCCCGTAGCAGGAGACTCCTGATCTCAGAGTCGTGAGTTCGAGCCCCACACGGGGCGCATGGAGCCTACTTAAAAAAATCATTTAAATCAGATTTCTTTTATTCTAGTATCTAGCTGAAGTTATCCATATGGGAGAAATTAAAGTTAGTCCTGAGAGTTAGATGTGAAGAATTTTGGAGTCCGAAGCCCTCCAGGCTCAGGGCAGATCCACGTGGGGCGTGTCCTGGAGGCCCCGGAGAGCTTTCCAGGGCTGTGCGTGGCACAGGGTGCGCACTTTCCACACCCCGGCTTGAAAGGCGAGGCTACTGGAGCTCATCATTTACTATAGTTTACTAAACTATCCTAAAAATGGAAAGGTGACTTCTAAAAATACGAAGTATGTTATGTTCTCTGTCAGTGGTTCTCAAGATGTGGTCCCCATCAGCATCACTGAAAATTTGTTAAGACATGTAAGTTCTCAGGCCATAACCCAGACCTACTGAGACGCTGGAGGGGGACACAGCAAGCGGTTTTAACAAGCCCCTCTAGGTGGTTCTGATTCATACTAACGTTTGAGAACCACTACTTTATATTATACTCCACATTCTGTTTTTGTTCTATAAATAGTATCATGCTTTGTAAACATGCAAGGTAAATATCTTCACTGTCTTAGAGATAACTATCCCCTTAATCTTATTATTTATTCTAGAAGTAGCAAAGTCTAGCATAGAATATGCATTTGATAATTGAAAAAATCATGTTGTAAAGGATCTCAAAAAGTAATGTCTTGAATCTTACCCGGAAGCTGACAATCAATTCTATATTAAAAGATCCGTTACGTCGTGATTCCAATTTGTTCATGGTTTTAACATTCTGTGGCTATTGTTTCAACATACACCTCTCTTCAACATGATATGTAGCACAAGAAATGTTTTTAAAAACCCACTAAAAACTAAATTCCTTTTGAGAATTTAATATGCGAAACTCTCTGAAAGTGCCTCAATACCTTTATTGGAGATATTGGAGAACATCTGGACACCATCTCTAATAACTGTACACTTGAATACCATTTGTAAGTCTGCCCTCTGTCTTTTTTTCTACATAATCCCAGTTCCTCCTCCTTTACTGGGCTTCTTGTCTCTTTCATCAGCTCTGTACCCGTCAAACAGGCTTCGGTGTCCCCTCCAAGTGCCCCGTGTTGTTCTCCAGGTGACGTCACAGTACGGTAAACACGATGAACATGCTACACCGTCCAAAACGTCATCCATACGCGAGTAACATTTGTGAAGATCAGTATTCACGGGCTTATTTTATATCATTTACATATTTAAATATTTACATATTTTCTAGGTGAAGTGTAAAATTTAACACTCTTTGCAAGTGGTATCTTGTTTTCGGAAGTCAAAATCTGAACTCTTAAAATGTGCGCGTGAATTTGTCGTGTTGAGCTGGAATAACAGCATTTCGAAGAGCCAAGGAGGTCGCTGAGCTCGGGTCCCCTTTTGCACACCGGAACTTGATGTCTTGACGTCCCATCTGGTGGCTGCAGCCACATCGTAAATGGAAACCCAGTTCCGCAAGCACAGTAGCCATGTTTCCAGGGCGCAGTCACTGCAGAGGGAGCTAGTAGCTTCGGGGCCAAACAGCACACGTCTAGAACATTCCCCTTATCACAGGAAGTTCTGTTGGGCAGCACTGGGTTAAATGGCCCAAAGCCATACAGCTCTTGAGTGGTAGAGCCAGACTTTGCGGTTCCTGGTCCAGACATATCCTGCCATACTACTCTCTTCCAAAAAAGGGAAAATAAGATAGATTACTTATTTTCTCTGCAGCATTTATTACGTTTTTGTACAAAGCATTGTGCAAGGCATGGATCTTGACCCCAAGAAGGTCTTAAAGAATATTACTTCAGGTGAGATTGCTGCCATATAGAAAATGGCAGGTGTTTTAGTTACCTCTCCTTTCTGGCTCCCAGCTGTCGAATGTATACGTGTATGTAAATGCATGCGTCTGCAGAAATGTCTGCAGTCCCTTTGACCTTCCCAGAGACATCAGATCCTGGTCCGCTCACACCTCTATTCCTGCTAGTCTCCCAGGCCCCCCCGGCCTTTCTTGCTCCCATCCATCTTTTGGATTCTACACCCTTTCCCCTCAAGTGCCATTTCACTCTGCTCTCCCACTCGAAACTGTAGCGTTATCAGGCACCACCACCAACTATGATAACGTCAACGACTTATAGTTGGATGATGCTTTTACTTGCACACACATTAGCCTGTTTGTTTCTTTTTTTTTAAATTTTATTCTTATGTTAATCCCCATACATTACATCATTAGTTTTAGATGAAGTGCTCCATGATTCATTGTTTGCATATAACACCCAGTGCTCCATGCAGAACGTGCCCTCTTTAATACCCATCACCGGGCTAACCCATCCTCCCACCCCCCTCCCCTCTAGAACCCTCAGTTTGTTTCTCAGAGTCCATCGTCTCTCATGGTTCGTCTACCCCTCCGATTTCCCCCGCTTCATTCTTCCCCTCCCGCTACCTTCTTCTTCTTTTTTTTTTTTTAACATATATTGCATTATTTGTTTCAGAGGTACAGATCTGAGATTCAACAGTCTTGCACAATTCACAGCGCTTACCAGAGCACACACCCTCCCCAGTGTCTATCACCCAGTCACCCCATCCCTCCCACCCCACCCCCCACTCCAGCAACCCTCAGTTTGTTTCCTGAGATTAAGAATTCCTCATATCAGTGAGGTCATATGATACATGTCTTTCTCTGTTTGACTTATTTCACTCAACATGATACCCTCTAGTTCCATCCACGTCGTTGCAAATGGCAAGATCTCATTCCTTTTGATGGCTGCATAATATTCCATTGTATATATATACCACATCTTCTTTATCCATTCATCTGTCAATGGACATCTTGGCTCTTTCCACAGTTTGGCTATTGTGGACATTGCTGCTATAAACATCGGGGTGCACGTACCCCTTTGGATCCCTACTTTTGTATCTTTGGGGTAAATACCCAGTAGTGCAATTGCTGGATCATATGGTAGCTCTATTTTCAACTTTTTGAGGAACCTCCATACAGTTTTCCAGAGTTAGCCTGTTTGTTTCTTTTTCTTTTTCTTTCTTCTTTCTTCTTTCTCTCTTTCTTTCTTTCTCCTTTTTTTTTTTTTTAAGGAATCTCTACTCCCAATGTGGGGCTTGAACTCACAACCCAAGATCAAGAGTTGCCAGCTCTATGGACTGAGCAACCCAGGCACCCCACCCCATTTCATTTATTTTATTTTTTTTTAAAGACTTTATTTATGTGAGAAAGAATGAGAGAGAGAGAGAGAGCATGGGAGGGAGGAGGGTCAGAAGGAGAAGCAGACTCCCCGCTGAGCAGGGAACCCGATGTGGGACTCAACCCTGGGACCCCAGGATCACAACCTGAGCCGAAGGCAGTCACTTAACCAACTGAGCCACCCAGGCGCCCCCATCCCATTTGATTTAATTCCCATCTTTCCTTCCATATTTCAGGACCTTCAGTCAACTATTGTCCTTTTAGTTCATAAGATTGTTTTTTCTCAAACATTTTAAGGAGATTTGTTCTAAAAGTTCTAAAACCAGGAACCTGAGGGTCATCCTTGGCTTCTCTATCTCCACTCCCCACCTCCAATTTGATCCATCAAGTAACATTGTTTCTGGGTCCAAAAATACACCTGGAATACATTCCCTTCCCTCCGTATATTCCCTCCGTATATTACTCGGCGAGGCTTCCCATAACAAAGTATCACAGAGTGTGATAATGGAAATTAATTTTCCCACAGCCCTGGAGGCCAGAAATCCAACTACAAGGTGTCAGCAAGGCTGGCTCCTTCTGAGGTTTCCCTCAGCTTGGAGATGGCAGTCTTCCGCTGTCCTCGCATGGCGGTCCCTCAGGGTCTCTGTGTCCTAAGCTCTTATCAGGACACCAGGCACACTGGATGAAGGCCCACCAGTAAGACCTCATGTTACCTAATGACCTCTCTGAAGGCCTCATCTCCTAACACAGTCACATTTTGAGGTACTTCAACATATGAGTTTGGGGGAGGCCAAAGTTGGGCCCATCGTGCGCCATCTTCCTCGAAGCCATCCGCACCCAAATCGCCTTCGTCTCAGCAGATGCTGACAGTTTTGTTGTCTTCTCATCATCCATCTACCGAACAATAGCCACAGAGCTCTATCTTTTAAAAATGCACACCACTCCCTTGCTTAAAACCTTAGAGTGGCTCCCGTCGCCCTACCATGAAATTCCAAACTCATTTCATTGGCTTCGAAGATGTGCGTGATCTATTTCCCCAGTTCAACTCAGGCCATTCCTTCTTGCCTGCTCTGTGCCATTCACAGAGATGGCTGTCCGCTCCAGGAACGCTACCCTCACCTCCGTCTCAGGCCCTGCGCACGTGCTGTCTTCCAGACAACGTTCATATGCTGATGTCTCAGTTAAGATGTTTCCTTCTCAGAGGAGTCTTCTCAGACTAACCACTCTTTTTAAAAAAAATTTTTTTTCTTATTTTTAAGTGAGCTCTGGCCCAACATGGGGCTCAAACACGCAATCCCAAGATGAGTCCCGTGCCCCACCCACTGAGCCAGCCAGGTGCCCCGACAGACTAATCACTCGCGATTTATTTCCTAGAAAAATCATAATTTAGAATTACTTTAGGTATTGTATATTTTTGTCAGTAGACTGTGTTTTTTTTAGAATCAGTGATTTTGTGTTTTGTTCGCAGCGCCCCCGGGATCAGGACTATATGCCCGGCACCCAGTGGACGTTAGTTGGATGGTCTACTTCTCTAAGCATCTCTGCCGCTCTGTTCAAGGAAGTCTGTAATCCCTCCTCGACGTCATGGCCTTCTCTCTGCCTCAAAATTGTTCCTCCTCTGAGCCAATCTATGGCTGTCATTCTCTCTTGGGTTTTTTTTTTTTTACTTAGAGATATTTATTTTTAAGATTTACTTGTAAATTTAAAGCATCATGAGGCATTTAGGTATGTGGGTATGAAGAGAACTATTTTGACATATCATTTATATTTCTGGGCTGTAGATACTACCATTCCTCTTCTCTAAGCCTTTGTAGTCATTCCCATCCCAATACTCTGTTAGTAACCAACACATTATAAAGAGACTGACAATTAACAGATCAAATAGCATTTCTCTTTTCTGTCGCAATAAAAAAAGTCCTGAAGAAAAATATTACCTTGATTTTACTATTGTGTTCAATAGTTTGTTCTTTCTTTTCATGTGCAAGCACGTTAACAAATGTGTTCATTATTGAAGTATATTGCCTCGCAACGTTAGGTTAGTTTCGGGCTCACGACAATCCCACGCGTTACTCAGTGCTCACCACGATGAGTGGAGTCTCCATCTGTCACCATGCTACGTAATTAGGGTTCTAGCGACCATACTCCCCATGCTGTATGGCTCATCCCCACGACTCGAAGTTCGGACCTCTCGGTCCTGTCACCTGTTCCAACCATCTCCCTGCCCCCCTCCCCTCTGGCAGGCACCAGTGTGTTCTCTGCATTTACGAACCTGTTCCTGGTGTTTTTGTTTTGTTTGTTAGATTCCACATGTGGTATCGTATGCTACTAGTTTCTCTGACTTACATCACTCAAAACGATACCCTCTAGTTTCCTTGTGTTGTTGCAGGACTGTCCTTTATTATTATTTTTAAGATTTTAAGTCATCTCTGCACCCAACCTGGGGCTCGAACTCTCAACGCTGGGATCAAGAGTCGCAGGCGCCACGGACTGAGCCGGCCAGACGCCCTCAGTTCCCTTTCGTTATGGATCAACCTTGGCCCTGACCTCTCTAGGTTCCCTCGCCAGCCTTTTACGTATGAAGTACTTTTAAGCAGAGTAACTGTTTTATTCTATAATATGTTACAGGAATACAGGGTGACAGTTGATCAAGAATTTGGTTGAAAAGAAGTTAATTTATATTGTCATAGCTGGTTTTCACTTTACTATTTCTCTCACACACCTTTCTAGTCATGAAAAAGGCAAGAAAAATAATTTGCAGATTCCTAGTGTTTGCTAAAGCCCAGGAACTTATTTTTTCTCTTAAAAAAACCCCAAAAACCCGCAACAAACAAACCCAGT